GTTCGATACCTGCAAGTGTCATTGTATCTTTGGAGAATGACACGAAACTTCGTGTTTTTACGGGTTGTTTCGAATATCCAAGCGTACAAAAAGAAATGATATTGGATATACCTCGCGGCTACGCTATTATATTTCGTGGAGATCTTTTTCACAGTGGAAAAAAAAAAGATTGGAAGAGCGAGGAGGGCGGCAATGAGCAGGTGGGACGGCGGTGCGAGCGGGTGCAGTGTGCTGACTGGCAGGACGACAAAAAGGGCAGTAGCAGAGAAGGGAGGACGGAGAGAGGACGTCAGTGGGGCAGCAGGACGGCCGAGAACGAGCGGGACGGACCGCAGCATAGTGAAAGCAGACTAGATACATGCCGAGGTGGCGGTCCTTGCGGCCATGGTACAGAGATTTGGCCTCTAGGACCCTAGTATGTAGTAAATAACTAGTTTATGTAGTGAGTGGTGCAATACATGGTTTAATTATTGACGCATACTATCTACTTCTGCTATAAGTGCATGTATCAACATCGTATTGCTTCTGTAATATCGACTTCTTCATAAATGCGTAAATTTATTATTACATGCATTTTCTTAAAGGCCATGCATTGTAATGATTGCACTAATCGGATAGGTCGGGTAAACGATGATGTGGATGAATATGTTAGATTATCGGACCATACTTGAACTTTGTATGGTGAAAATTTGTCAATTAACAACCATAATTTAATTTTATCCAATCACAGCTAATAAAAATTGTATATTTAGCCAATAGGACACTGTAGGTGTAGGTGAGTCAACTAAACCACCCAATCGGGCGTATCAGGTCCGATGAACTTCTAAAATATGTGTGTATTCATTCAATTGTCAAGTGTTAGGCATATCACTTTCATATTTCTCTTTATCGGACCATCACGATGGGTTTGGAGGAGCTGCAGCCCGGTAACACATTGCGTGCCAAGGCAACTGCTGTCGCAGCATTCTCCAAGTTTTTGAAGGGTGAGGAAGTTGAAGGGTAATTTGTAAGAAAATGTATTGAGGCAGATGAAAGTGGCAAGAGCTTTGTGTGTCATGGATAAGTTTGGAATGTATCTTGCGTTTAGCGAAGGAAAGAAGGGCAAACTGCAGGCACGAAACACTGCAATGCAGTACTATCGCCAAGCATAGATTTGGCTCCTAGAGCAATTTCCTCAGCACCGAGCGTCACTGGAATCGCGGCTGTTAAAAATGGGGAAAACCCTAGATAGCTTTTGTTTGAAAAGAGATGGTGGTGGCTTCGTAACAAAAGCTCCACCATGTACGAAGGCTGACTTGAAAAAAATGATGGCATGTTGTATACTAATTCATGTTCTGAGAGTGATTACCAAGATGCTATTCTTCTATGTCTTCTCTGGTACCTGTTCGGGAGAGCTTCCGACCTGTCGATGATCAAGAAGCGGAATATCTCCATTGATGCTGCGGACGTCTTCTTTCTACGCTTGGTCCGTGTCAAGATATCGGAAGAGCAAGGCCTGTCGCTCTTCCCGGACGCCGACTTTTCTACGTGTCCCTTGCTCGCTGTCGCGCTTGCCCTCTCCGTCCAAGCCGCACCGTCCCCAGCTCTCATCGACAACCTGCCCGACCAAGTCCTCCAAACACCGATCTCGCTCTCTCCGGATGTTCCGCTCGTGGAGCTTCTCAACGCACCGCCGTCGACCTCTGGTCTTTCGACGCCTGTGCCTCCACCACCTCGTGCTGGCACGGCACCGACGGTTTACGCGCATGTTAACCGTGTGCTTGGTCGCGTCTGCCTCGGCGCTGGTGTGTCGGCTGCGCTAACGTCGCACTCCTTCCGCCGCGGTGGGGCACAGCATGCCAACGGCTGCGAGAAAATGACTGCGCGCTGGATCTTTGACCGAGGATCTTGGAATCTAAGCATCCCAAACAAGGGATTCAACTACATATTGGACAGGAGTAGAGAAGATCACATGATTGCCAAGATATTGAGCGGATACAAACCGTCAGCCGCTGTCCATCTCCAAGACCTGTCCAGCTTCGACGCCGACACGCTTGACTCGATCGCCCGGTTCCAACGGGTACTGTTCGCAGCTTGCTACCAGCTTCAGACAGAGACCTTCAACATCAACCGAAAGGTTTTGGACTGTCTTACCGCCTGCCTCGTTCGGTACTATCCTGTGTTGAAGGACTTGAATCCTAAAAGTAGTGTGGTGAATCGATTCGAAACCTGTGTTGCACATGCTGGGCGTACGCTTGCGGATTTCCTTGTCTGGTCAGCCCATCTTGCCAAAGCTCGGAGCCCCTGTAAAGAAAGTGATGAACCCGCCACACCACCACGCAAGCACGAATCCAACTCAACAGAGCCAAGCCAAGAACAGAAGATCATCGAGAACCAAGCCGCTGTCATTAAACACCTTATCAAGAATTCCAAACGCCAAGATGCCCACATGGACATTCTAGAGGCACCGATAAACGGGGATCCTGTAGCTGCAACGCACAAAAGGAACAGACAAGATGAAGACACAGCGGATGTGAGCGAGCCCAAGAAGAAACAGCGCAGAGGATCTGCTACGCACCTTCATGCAATTTGGTTTACCTGGTATGCGCAAGAGCCACGCTGGTATGAGAACCAAACCAGCAGCGGTCGAAATCAAAGCTGCTGGTTGCGTTCATGAAGCTGTTTCTTGAAGACGGCTTCGTGCTTGGCGAAAAGTCTGCGGACTACCGGGATCGAGTGCTGGAGCATGGGAAGCAAGCCGAGGATGCCGTACTCGCCTACTTGAAGAAGGAGCACGGCATCAACTCCCGTGGATCAAGCGCGGTCCTCAAGCATCTCCAGGGGATCCACAGCGCCG